TTCATCATCAAATCAATTACGTCCGCCATTATCAACAATAACTCCAACAAAAACTAATCTTTCAACTGAATATCCCGAAAAAAACGAAACCACGTCCATTAACTAAACGTATGGGTATTAAGCGTGCCGTTTTGCAAAGATTCAAAATTACAAAAAATAACAGGTAAAAAATAAATTTAAATTAAGTCGATACAGTATTTTTTGAAATTTTCCATCGACGAAACCATATAACTAAACCAACTATAGAATTAATCGTAAACATAATCCATACAATTAACACATTGATATCAAGTCTTGTTTCGAGAAGACCTAAAATATATTAAAACCTTCTATAGTAGATACTTTCCGATTAAGCAGAGTGATTAAACTTTTTATATAGTAAACATCGTTATACTACCGACGGCGTTAGTGATATAGTTTTATTAATTTTTAAATTGCTGACAGTGGTTTATCCAGCGGGGGGAGAGTGGCACGGGCTTTTTGCCCTCTCGGAGGGTGCCCCCCCCCCCCCCAGAAGAGAGATTTTTGCCCTCCCGGCAGTTAATTTCGCGCCCTCGGACGAAAAAAGCTAGATAAAACACTGATTACTGAATGTTCTATTACTACTCTCTCTAATGGTCAGAAATTTGCGCGCTTTTCTCAATACATATAATTAACATTAGTGTCTACGATTCATTCTTCAATTAACAGTCTCAACTCTACAATATCATTTTTGAAAACAGCGAATTTTTCTATAAACTCCAATTAGTATAGAAATATCTGTATTATTTACCACTATACATAATAATTGCCATTATATTCACACCTGCCCATAATATATATTGTTCCCAATAACAAAATATAAGTAAAAATTGTGCAACAACACTTAATGTATTTGTTGAAGCATCCAGTAAATGTGGAACAAAATTTGTTTCGAAAAAATATTGTGATGTTAATAATTTAGAAAATGCTGGTATTTCATAATAAAATAAAAATGCTAAACCTACACATAGTATTATTATAAATACCCAGCCAATTAATTTTAATGATTTAACACGTGTTGTCGATTGATTATCTAGTTGTTTTGACCATATATAGATGCCAACAAATTGCATTGGTAAAAAAAATAATATATATAATTGTGCATCACCAACATAACCATATGCAAATGAATAAATACCGTATAGAATAGCTCCGAGAATACCCCAAAAATATGAAGAAATTTTACCTTGAATAACTAAAACTACATTGAGAACATTTGTAAATGCAGCAATACCAGATAAACATAATAGAATACGACGCCATAATGGTACACCATCATTTAAATCATTTGTCCATTTTAATAAAGAACGTTTTTGTTCTTGTGGAAAAAATGAATTAAAATCCTTGAAATAAAAAAAATTTAGTTTAGATATTTCTCAATAAAATAAGCTTTTTTTACCAAAATAGAAAAAACAACATTGAATGTTGCAAATAGAATAAGAATAATAGCTTGCCAACATTTAAATGATTTTAAATCCGGTAAAATAGATTTAAATACAAGTTTCAGAAATTTGATATAACGTTTAATAAATAAATTTAATTTAAATAAACAAGATTTTGTATTTCTATCAGATATATGACTAATATCATTCGTTGAAAGTGTTATTGTTGAGAGATTATCATTTGAATTTATTGGTATTGTTGTTAGCGGTAATGATATAACAGATAATGGTTCTTGTGAATGTTGTTTAATATCGAGCTATAAGTATAGAATAGATAATTCGAATAAAATCTGGCACGGATCTATTCGTACAGTAGTGTCGCGAAAACTTTAGATTTAGGAGGAGAGAGAGGACACTCTTCGCGGCAGCCCTATATTCATATTAGACTTTGACTCTCTCTAATTTTCATATGATGTCAATAACAGTTCGAAATTTTATCTCTAATGTTGCACTCGGAATTAAATCAACCTTAAAAACGAACTCGATCACGTTAAATAACAGAGTGTCAGAAGTACATTTGATGAGAAAAGATAAGTTAAATGATACAATAAGAAGAAAATTCATCTAGAGAATAAAATCTCATATTTTATTTTTTCTCTTATATCACTAATAAATTAAAACCCAACATTTTTTTCTTCGTTTCAGATCAACTAGGTAAGCATAAATTTATATTTTCTCAACGTTTGTGTCCATCACACACAGCACTCAATTTTCTACACTTGCTTTTCATCTTCTTTTCAAATGAATATTACACATCTTTATGTATATATCTAAATGTTTCTCAGTTTTTTTCTTCTTACACTATGATTATTGTTTCTTACCTGTGTCATTATTTGATCATACGATTCTAAATTTTATCGAAAATGATGCTTTAAATTCGATATTTTCTCTTCTGATATACGAACATGTCAAAAGTAAATGGCAAAAAGGATTTACAATAGACAACAATAGAATGAATAACCTTTATTGAATTTTGAAATCAATTAATCATTAACTGATATTAAAAAATTTATTTATTTATTTATTTTCAGTGAACTTGATACAAATGGACTTGATAATGAAGTTGATTCAAGTGTTCTATCATCATCAAATAATAAAAATTTCAATCGAAGTTCAAGTAATCCAGATTTATCTCCATCATCCGTTAGTAATAAATCTATGTCATCATCATCAACCAGTGCAACTAATAATGATGAAGATCATTCAGCATTTGTTATTAAAGTTTATCGAAGTGATCAATCATTTAAATATTTTCCTGTATATAAAGTACGAAAAAAAAAATACCTAGTAAATTATTCTATTATTATAAAAAAATGTTATCTATAGGATACAACAGCAAAACAACTTGTTATGTTAGCTATAACTGAATTTGGTATTGGTGATCAAAGCAGGTAAATAGATGCATGATTATTATGTTATAAGTTTCGATTTATCTATGAGATTAGTTTCTTTATTGAATATCAACCTTCTCATATTTTGTAGTCATACATCTTCTCGCGTAGAGTTTGATCTAATGCGGTAAGATGTTATTCTTAAATAATTGGAGTAGCTTTAGTGTATTGTTTGGGTTTCTTTTTTTTGTTTTATAACTAATAATAATAATAATAAATTTTTAAAGTGCACGCTTTTTGGGGAATAATAATGGGGGTTAAACAGCTTATGCTATTTTGTTTTTATCCTTATTCAGACAGAGTATCTTCTACGACGATGTGTAAGTTTATGCTTTACTTTTTGTTTTTTTCTTTGCATTTTTCAATTCTTTTATAAATCACCTTTGATCTATAACACATAAATATCAAACTTAAATGCTTTATATCAGACAAACAGGAGTATTTTTTACTAAGAACAAAAACAAAGGAATTCGAAGTCTTAATTAAAGAAAGTATCGATCTCATATGAGAATCTTTTCAGACAACACTGATATTATTTAATAAAGTCCATTAAGACTTACATTACATAAAATCAATTAAAGAATTACCCAAAAAGAATAACTTTTATTTCAATTAACTTTTTAATCTTCACATAAACTAATTCATTCCTCTAATAATCGCTTAATCTTACATAAATTATGCTAACAACTTTTTTTAAATAGAAATTTCATAGATATAATTTTTGTCTATTTTCTTAAGGTGTTATTCGTTATGTGAAGTATCTGTTGAAAACGGTGTTATAAAACAAAAACGTTTACCTGATTATACTAATAATTTACCTGAACGTCTTCCAGTAAATGCACGGTTTTATTTAAAAAATAATCATTCAACTGAAACACTTGTACCTGATCATTTATCAAATGACTTAATGCGTGAAGCACGTATCAATTTTCTTTCATTAGATGCACTTGAAATTTGTGCACAATTAACCTTACGTGATTTTGCAACCTTTAAATCTATTCAAACAACTGAATATATTGATCATATATTTAAATTAAAATCAATTTATGGTATACCACATCTCGAGAAATTTCTTAAATTACCAAATAAAGAAATGTTTTGGACAATAACTGATATTGTACGTGAAAGTAATTTAATGCAACGTTCAAAAGTTATTAAACATTTCATTAAAATTGCTAGTAAGAAAAATTTCTAGTTATTTGTATATTTTTGAAATTAAATTTATATTATTTTATTTAGAATGTTGTAAGGATATGAAAAACTTCAATTCAATGTTTGCAATTATTACTGGTCTTGATCATAAAGCTGTACAACGTTTACAACAAACTTGGGAACGTGTACCAGACAAATATAAAAAATTATTTGATGTAAGTTATGAAATACGATAAGAGATAGATTTAGAAACATCTTTTCCTACGATTAAAAAAATAGCGCCGGTCAGTGTTTTATTTAGCAGGAAATGAGGGGGAGGGGCATGGGACAGTTTACGCCCTCGAAGGTTCCGTTCACCCTCCCGAGATTTACGACTTGGCGTTTTCTACTACAAGTTCGCCTCGCCTCTTCCTCCTGCCGGAGATCGTTTTTGACCCCTCGGAACTAAAATTCTAGATAAAATATTGACTATAGGGTCAGTGAACGATGAGCACATGAGTGTTTACGTCCATAATATCCACGAAAGCAAAGAAAGTTCTGGCAAATATGAATCGACATCGATACACGAATCTATCGATGTTATCTTTTCCGGGCCAGCGCCCTCACCTACACTCAGTTGTTTGTGTGCTTAAGTATCCTTGTGCTCATCGTTCCGGTTCCCTAAAATATCGGAGTATGATTCCATGGAATTTTTTAGTCGAAATTTTGCTATATCAAAGCCATTGACAATACACTTACAATTTTATCTTTTATTTTTAGGAACTCAAATCATTACTTGATGTATCTCGAAATATGTCCGTCTATCGAAATTTATTAAAAAATGAATTAGTTGCTCCACCAATTGTAAGTCATCCAAAGAAAAACAATCAAATGAAATTATTATATATTTTTAGATTCCCATGTTTCCGGTGTGTATGAAAGATTTAACATTTATTCATTTGGGAAATTCAACTCAAGATGAAGGCTTAGTAATTAATTAATAGAAGAAGAAACAAAAAAAGTTCTATTATATTTTTATTTTATTCTTTAGATTAATTTTGAAAAACTTCGTATGATTGCTAAAGAAATTCGTCATATAACAAATATGGCATCATCACCATATGTAAATAAGAAAAAATACTTTTTTGACAAAAAATAAATTAATTATTTTTAGGATATATCTAATATGTTTGATTCGCCAACATCTCATACACAAGTATTTGCTGGTTTTGGCCATCAATCATCAACTGATTCATCGAATACAATACGAAGATATCAGACTGGTAATCGATTATCTGTTATGGCAAATGCTAAACGAGTTTATGATGAAGTAAATTTAATAAGAAAAAATAAACTAAACAATTAAATATTATTCTATTTAGGCATTAATGGTTAAAAAAGTGAAAACATATTTAAATAATGCTGAAATAATTGAAGATGAAAATCGTCTGCTAGAAATAGCTAATCAATGTGAACCTGGTGAGGACTGGATTTAAAAGAATATAAATTTTGTTTTTCTCATATTAAAGAATAAAATATTACAAAAAAACTAAAATCTATAATTTCAAAAAATAAAATGAGATTTTTATTCTAGTTTTTCATTTTCTTGAGCATACAAATCAAAAAATAAATGAACTTGGTGAGAATATGAAAGATTTCTGAAGCATGTTCTCATTTATTTTGAACAATATTTTATGCGCGCATGTCTTGGGTTTTTTCTTTTCCATATACTTTATGTATATTTTATATGTTTTCTTGTTTCAATATGACCAATTATATACGCACGTTTATTTCCTTTAGTTGGAGGAGGAAATTCACCGATATCCCCATCAACTCTCCTAACTGGACTTACATTGTTCAGTGATGAAAATGAATTTGTAGTTTTATCTATGCCAAGTAGTCCATCAGGATCGGATGGTACCAATACTGGTCTTGATGATGATAAAATCAGTACTATTATCGAAGATGAACAATCAACAAATAATCTCTCGAGTCGATTACGTCAAAATTCAACAACATCACCATTCAATGTTTTTAAAACTGCACTTCTCAATGGTATCTCAGCCAAAAGAAAATAAATAAATAAAGCCTCTAACCATTTTTTTCTCAGCATGCATATAAGCCCGATTACTGCTTGCTCATGACCTACTTTAATTAAATTCGCTATTATCTAGAATTGAATTTTCATCTTTTGTTTTTTTTCTTCTAATTTAGTAAGCACACTTAAACGTCGTCCATCACCATCAACATCAAGTTTATCATCAAATTCATCATCTGATCGTCGTGGTGGTGCAATACAATTAACTAAATTTGGTATGTAAATTTCATGACACGTGTTCAACAAAAAAGTTTTATTTCATATTTATTAGATAATTGTCCAGGTAAACCCTAAAAAAAAGAGGAATATATTTCGATATTGTCAGTAAATTCTATTTGTTTCTGCATGTGTCTATTCGTCGTGATAAAATTTTAATTTGAATACAGAAATAAAATAATCGGTGCGTTTTTTTTCTTCTTCCAGGTACACAATCACCAGATGCTGTTAATAAATTACTTCGTCTATCGGATAGTAGTCATCAAATAAAAAATCGTACACCACAACGTTCACAACATATACCAACATCATCTAGTCTTTCAAGTAGTACATCAACAAATAATCCTGGATCACCATTATTAAGTACTTCAACAACAACAACAGGACTTTCATCATTAGCTGAAGTATCATATCGTCAAAATCATCAACATCATCATCATCAGCATTTAAATAAAATGCGTGATACAAATAAATTAACAAGTGAAAGTTCAAGTTTAAATTTTAAACAACCAACATCATATTCACATATGATTAGATCACATACTCGTAAATATCTATTTTTTCTCAACTTAAAATATTTTAATAAATTTTTTTCGTTTTGAAGTAATACCTCAAAATAATAATGAATTAATTAAAGAAGGTGGAGATTCAGGACGTGGTAGTCTTAATTCAACCGATACTTGTAATATTAAAAGATAAGATTATATTTCGATTTTCTTATAAAATTATTTTAGGTGTTGGTGATGGAAGTGAAAAATCATCCAGTACAATTGGTGAAGGTTTTGCATCAATCAGAGTTCGAAATCGACCTCCATTACCACAATCAACATCTGTTACATCAAGTAATTAATAAAAAAAATCAATTGATTTTATTTTATGATTTTTGTTTCTTTTAGCAGCACATCCTGATAGTGCACCTAGTCCTAAAACAAAACGTCAATGGTTACAACGTTCCCAATCACATAATGAAGTAACAACAAATGATGGACCAAATCAAGGTATGTATCAAATATCGAGATAATAAAAGAAATGTATTTAATTAATTTCAAGGAAGTTTCTGTCGAAAAAATGTTGTGTAAGAATTGACGTATTATTTTTTTGTTTCCTTGTAGAAAATATAAAGACACAGATATTCTTGTTAAGTTTTGGTTGTATTATTTTATTTTTCTTAGTTTATTTCACGGATTTTATTCTAGAATTTTATATTTGAATATGAAAAATTAATTTAGTTTTTTTCTTAATTTTATTTTAGAAGACTCAACTGTCGATTTCGACGAACATGAACAAGTGACAGCAGTTTAATTCATATATATATGTGTGCTTATTTGGTTGTCTATTATGGCCCGGTGCCTCTTTTTCATTATTTTTCTTTTTTTTTTCATTGAACAGTGAAATTCTTTGCGTACTGCACATAAAACAATTCATCATTATATTGTACATTGTGCGTGTTTGTTTTCTTCTATTTGCATTTTTCTCTTCCCTATCGTGCGCATTCGTTTGTTTTATATTTTCCTATTGACTGTCTTTATCTATATATGTATGTTCTTATCTGATGCTCAACTGTTTTGTTGTGTTTATATTCTATTGATCTGATTCATTTCTTTTTTCTCTTCTATCGAAGTAGTTATGTTCATATGCTAGATTTATATATAATCGAATACTCTCATTTCAACCGAGTTTATATACTTTGCCACGCGATTCAATATATTGATTACTTTACTATAACTCATAATTGGTTGTCAGATGTGCTACGCTTGCTTGTTTTCTTGCAGTTTTTTTTAAAAAGAACAAAAAAAAAAGAATACTTAACAATAACAAATATTTCATTTTCCCTGGCTCTTCTTTTTGTCTTGCGAGTAGGAATAACTGTGATACTAAGATAAGGTCCAAACATAATATATCCAAGCTAAAAATGGTCTAATAATGTTGAATGAAAAAAGGAGCTAACTAATCTTACTCGCTCAATCATCATTTCGTTTGTTTTAATTGTGAAATTTCTCTATTATTTAATACTCAAACGCTTTTTTTTCTCCTTCTTCTTTGTTATATTCTCGCTTGTTAACTATTTATACAGCACAGTATATCTCGTATACAATTGTGTGTATTTATGTATTTAATATTCTACTTTTTCCCTATTTTATTGTTTATTTCATCGGAATATAAAATCATGTACGAAATAAATTTGAAACAACAAGAAAACATCAGTAGTCCAACGTACTCTCCGTACTAAGGGAAAAAAAAAACACCTGACGACACATATATGGTCTGATCATCGTACGATTATTATCTTTCAAATAAAACATCTAAACAAACTTTTCTTTTTTTCATTCCTGTATATATATGTAGGCTTATTCTATTCGAATATTATTATTTTTAGATAATTAAATCATGTCAACATTCTTTATTCTCACAGTATTATTCTGCTCTATCTGTTCAATATGGACAGCAACACCATTTAAAGATTGTGGATCAGTATTAGGTACTATTAAATCATTTGACGTCACTGGTTGTACAACAGTTCCATGCAAATTTGCCAAAGGACAAACTTATACAATGAATTTAGAATTTCAATCAAATGCTACATCAAAAACAGCTTCAGTTCATATTCATGGTAAATAAACAAACAAATTATTATTTCTCTTAAAAAATATTCATTTTTCTTCTATGAATATATAGGTGTTATTGGTGGTATTCCAGTTCCATTTCCATTACCTGATCCTGATGCTTGTAAAATGAATGTTAAATGTCCAGTCAATGCAAATGATGCAAACGTTGCAATCATGTCATTACCTGTCTTATCATCATATCCATCAATTTCACTCTATGTCAAACTTGAAATAACCGCTGATGATCAAAATAAAGATTATGCTTGTTTACAATTTCCAGCAACTATAACAAGTGGTTCAGCTCAAGAACGAAATTTAGTTGGTTGGAAAAAAGGCAAATTATTCGAAATGCTCAATTAATTTATATACATCTTTTTTTTACAAAACATTCAGCATAACATTAAAAGATCTTTTTCTACATTCCAGTGATTCTACTTTATTGTCTTTCTATTATATAATTCAGCGTTTTTTTCATTGCATGTGACATTTTTATTTTCTATTAAAAATAGACTCAACATTACATATACTAATTTTTATATCGAGGAGTTTTATCTGCATCCAGTGCACTATTGTTTATAAGTGTAACCAATGAAATCGTACGTACACACCTGCATCTATTCGCACTTATCTTATATCCATAACAGATAAGATACAAAATAAATATTACTTCTATATATTAGATACTCTTTGTTTTTGTTTATCATAAGAGCCATAACGATGATTGTAGCGCATGTATATATATATATGTAAATCATTTATAATCGTAAGTAGTGATATGAGAGTATGAAACAGTGTTACATTAAAGTAAGCAATGCGTATGATTTAATATTTTATTTTAAGAATATCGTCGCTTACGAATAAGTATATCATAGATTGCCACTCGTAATAATAGAGATTTTGAATTTCGTTCTCAGCAGTAAAAATACGAAATCGAAATCTTATAATCACGTTTATAAAGATCATATAAAGTTTCCCAGCAATAACAAAATGGCATACAACTGATAAAAGTAACTATTCATGCGCTTACTATCCTATCAGATTACTAAGTTTGACATTCTAAGGATTCAATATGTTTTTTTTCTACGTAACAATGGTTTCTTTTTCTATAAAAAGAACATTCTTTTTCGTATCATAGAAATCAGTATGTTTTGCGTTCTAGGAATTAATTATTTTTATTATTTTAGATAAAATGGCAGCTTGTTTAGATGAAAAATTTGAAAGTTTAGAATCAATTTTAGCTGAACATTTACCAGCTGATGTACTTGCAAAAGTAAATTTGTCTCTTCGTGGACCAGGTTCAATGTAATTTGAAAATATTTATATGTAGAAATATATATATATATATTATTTTAGTGATCTTGAATTACCAGCAAAAGCTAAAGAAACAGCTAAAAAAAATAATTTTGATTTACAAGGTTATGAGATAAAAGTAGGTCAAAAAGAACAATCACGACCATCACGTTTAGTTCGTATTGGTGCCATTCAAAATGCTATTCAAAAGCCAACTACAGCTTCTGTTCAAGAACAAGTATTATAAACAATTTCTTAGTTTTTTTTATTGTAAGTCTGATCTATATAATAGAGAGATGCTATTCATGAACGTGTCGATCAAATGCTTGCTGTAGCACATGAATGTCAAGTAAATGTTGTTTGTATGCAAGAAGCATGGAGTTAGTATTAATTAGAGGGACATATTTTTCTTTAAAATAATGAGAAATTATTTAATTTCAGCTATGCCATTTGCTTTTTGTACAAGAGAAAAATATCCATGGGTTGAATTTGCTGAAACAGCATATGATGGACCAACAACAAAATTTCTTGCTGAAGTTTGAATATTGATTTAGATAAATATGATTTAATTAATAAATTTAGAGAGCAAAAAAATATAATATGGTTATTGTTAATCCAATATTAGAACGTGACGAAGAACATGGTGATGTTTTATGGAATACAGCAGTAATTATTTCAAATCATGGTAATGTTATTGGTATTACAAGAAAAAATCATATTCCAAGAGGTAAAATTCAATTAAATAAATTCAATTTTAATACTTTAATTTTTCTTTATTATAGTTGGTGATTTTAATGAAGTAAATTTTATTTGAATATATTTTGTTAATTTATAATTAATAATTTTTTTTGAAATAGTCAACTTATTATATGGAAGGAAATACAGGTCATAAAGTATTTGAAACAGATTTCGGTATATTTTTCTTTTTTGAACGTATTTCATTACTAATAATCATTATTATTTTCAAGGTCGTATTGCAGTAAATATATGTTATGGACGTCATCATCCACAAAATTGGCTTATGTATGGTGTGAATGGAGCAGAAAGTAAAGAAATTTTTTTTGATAATTTCTATAATAATGAATTCTTATTATTTTTTAGTTGTTTTTAATCCAAGTGCAACAGTTGGAGCACTTAGGTAATATTGAAATATATATTGTAGTGACAGAGAGAATAGGATTGATTTCTAATAATATTTAGTGAACCTTTATGGAGTATTGAAGCACGTAATGCAGCTATTGCCAATAGTTATTTTGCAGTTGGTATTAATCGAGTTGGAACTGAAACATTTCCGAATGATTTTACAAGTGGTGATGGAAAACCAGCTCATAAAAGTTTCGGACATTTTTATGGTAAAATTCATGCATAATAATAATAATAATAGATAAATAAATTTTATGTTTATAGGAAGCAGTTATATAGCCGCACCTGATGGTAGTCGAACACCTGTACGCTAACTTTTAAAATAGAAGAAAAATTTGAATATTTTCTATTTAGGGTTTATCTCGAGTTCGTGATGGATTATTAGTTGCTGAATGTGATTTAAATTTATGTCGTCAAATGAAAGATAAATGGGGTTTCCGAATGACACAACGTCTTGATTTATATGCTGACAGTTTTGCTCGAGCAATTCATCCAGATTATAAAATGGATATTATTAAAGATCCAAATTCAAAGCAATAAGACTTTTTTTTAATACATATATTTTATTTTATGGCTAAACCGTAGTATTTCATTCCGTTAATAAAAATAAACCAAGCATATTATACATGTTTCACTAAAAATTAGACATAGAGATATTGTGCAATGATTTTAAAATGATGAAATCAAGTTACCATAGTGTTTTTTGTTTTTCTTTGTTAATATAGATGCCTAGAAGTTATTTTAGACTTGGAAACAAAATGGAGGTTTATCATACAACAATATTTTTGTTATTTTGTTAAAAGCATATTAATATGAGCAATGGAAAAAATAATCTATAATGATATTATTTTGTCGCTGTAAAATAGTGCCTAATGTAATTGCACAATAGTTACTACGATTAAAATTTCATCATGCTTTTCATGAATTAGTATTTGCAACTTCACTAATATTAGAATAATGAAATGTGTAGCTTTGAAGAACACTTATACACTTCAGTATGTAAAGCTTGAAAATATGAATCATTAATAGCGAAATTTCTCGATTTTTATATTACTATTCAAATATTTTCGTTAATATACTACCATTATGTTGATAAAAACGTTTTATTTTTCATTTTCTTGAATATATTTGCTTACTTCTCGATCATTCCATTCAAACGTTCTTAGAAATCTTTGATCTTATTTACATTGACACATGATAGATGCAAAGTTTCTCCAAAGTATGTTTCTATTTTACAGCATAAATTTAAAAATTCCATAGCTGACTGCATATTTTCTTCTAAATTAATTAAAAAAATTCCTCAATACAAAATATTTTTTTAATATTGCTGACAAAAACTCATGTTAAGGTTTCATTTTTTAATAATATTCTCACGGGAATAAATCAATTAAATATTTAATTATCATCATACAAAGATGCACAATATTGAAAAGACTTTTGTATTCTATAAATACCTTATGTAATTATGTCTTAAATGGATTCAACAATATATATATATGACTAAGCAAGTTATGTGAAAATGTATATCATTACCAAGCATACAATTTTCTTTTCATTTTAATTATTTGAAAAATAAAGAGTGTATGTATTCATTACACTTTCCAGAAAAATAACGAAATGATTGAAGTAATATATAATTAATATCTTTTTATCTAACTTAAATATTATATATATCATCTTTTTCAAATTAACATCAATATATTTTTACAACTTAATATATATCATCATATCTGGTTAAAATGAAAGCAACAATTATCAAGGTCATTATATATTTAATCTGTTATATATCTATTCAATTCATCATCGTTATCTGTTTATTTTCATATGTATAAAATAAATCTCTCGTAAAAGTGTTATTAATCTTAAAATTTGTTCATCGTATAATCCGAGAAAAAAAAGAAACACAATTTATTTTCAGACAGAAATATTTGACTATTTATTTGTTTTTGTCAATAATTATGATATTCTTATTTTTTCTCTTACTGAATTCTTTTTTTTTTGTCGTCCTTTCATTCTTTAGTATACGCACATGCATCATATATTTGAGCACAAAAATATATTCATATTCTGTTCTTTAGTTTCTTCGATCATCGACATTCATGAAAAGAAGAAAG